GGCTTGCCAGAACTGTACAATGGCAGTAGTAAAGCACAATGCTCACATGCTCTAATGTTCATTGATTTTTCGTCTCGGTTTACAAAAGAGCGCCTGTCAAGCGAAGCTCCCGGTGACCCTGCGCTCGCTGACTTTTCCAGAAACGCAGATCAGATCAGATATGCACCAAAAGATGCTCCTACACACACATAACCCTCCACATTCTTTCCCAATTCCAGCACTAATGTCCTGCAGAAATGCCTTACACTTATCACCGTCTGCTTCTTCTTTGGTTTATTCCTTCACTCGGCATTAGCATTTAAAGTATTGCAGCGAGCCTCCGCATGCACTGCAGAAGCTGAGAAGTCGAGGCGTTAGAAAACACTAGACGGGCTTCAAAGCTTTTCCCTGGGCTGGTGTATTAGCAGAGAGGCTGTGATCTGATAAAGCCCTTTAATTCGCCGCTTTGAAAGGAGTTTACTGAAGTTTTGCTCATTTACATGCCGCCTAATATTCCTTGTGCACAAATAATGAGGGAGATTACGGAGGGCTGAGCGAACACGTCAAGTACAAACCATTAAACGCGCCAACAGCTGCCTTCGTCAAATCTCATTTTCCGCTTCTATATTATTTTTGTTGCTGCTGGTATGTAAATGGCTTGCGCGCGAGGAGTAAAAAGTTGCGATATAAAGTAAACCCAATTATTTGCTTCCGGGAGTTTTTTTGTGATTCGAACCTTGGCATAATTTAACCTCACCTTGATCATTTTGGTCGAAGTGGTAGAAGGTAAGATTGGAAAAAAAGCTCACAGCTAAAGTAGATTGGAAATTATTATAATGTAACAGTGGGGAGGGCAGGTGTGCGATAAAGACCAATCGTAAATCATTATGCAAATACTAAAAATGACATCATTGCTTGGAAGCATAAAAAGTGATGCATATTTGTGTTCCTTTAAAAGTAGTTGTTTGATTTTCTGTAAAATGAGGTGTTTTAATAGCATTTTATTTCTGGTTTACTGTTCAAATATGTTTTATTTATTTTTATTTATTTATTTATTTATTTTTTTTTTAAAGAAAGCACAAACAACAAATTTTTATTATTATTATTATTATTATTATTATTATTATTATTATTATTATTATTATTATTATTATTATTATTATTATTATTATTATTATAGACAACATTTTTATTACTACAGCAAAAAATAAAGTAATACATAAATATTTAAAATAAAAAGCTAAATTCTATTTAAATTCAAATGATTTAAAATAAAAAGTAAACAATCAAATTAAATAAATAAATAAAATAAGATAAAGAAATAAGCGATGCAGTGCCGCAGTTGGTAGTGCTGTCACCTCACATCAAGGTCGCTGGTTCGAGCTTCAGCTGGGTCAGTTGGCGTTTCTGTGTGGAGTTTGCACACAGAAACACATTATAATAGACAACATTTTAATTGCTAAAGCAAAATAAGTAATGATAAAATAAAATAAATCTAAATTCTAATTAAATGAAATCTATTTACAATATTAAATAAAATAAAATAAATTAAATAAAAAATAAAGTAATAAATACAAATAATAAAGTAATAAAATACATTAAAAATAAAGCCAAAAATACATTTAAATTAAATTAAATTAATTTTAATAAGTGGGGTTAATTACCACACTTGAGTAAACAAAAACTAAAAACAAAAACATTTCCACAAAAAATAAGCAAAAAATTAATTAATAAATAATTATAAGCTAATAAGCTAAATTCGATTTAAATAAAATGAAATAGTTATTTTGGGGGACATTTAATTGCTACACTTTAATAAAAATAAATAAATAAATAAATAAAATAATAATAATAATAATAATAATAATAATAATAATAATAATAATAATAATAATAATAATAATAATAATAATAATAAAACATTTCCACAAAACAAAAAGCACCAAATCAGCATATCAGAGTCATTTCCTAAGGATAAAGCCAAACAAGCAATTAATAAATATGCAAATCCATTAAACATTACACAGCTGCTTTTGACCAATTTTTTTTTTGTCAAAATGATTTTATTTCAGCTGTTATGTAAATCCCCCCACAGTCCAAAGACATGCGATATAAGTGAATTGAATAAGCTAAATTGGCTGTAGTGTATGTGTGTGAATGCAAGAGTGTATGGGTGTTTCCCTGTGTTGGATTGCGGCTAGAAGGGCATCCGCTGCGTAAAATATGTGCTGGATAAGTTGGCGGTTCAATCCGCTGTGGGAGTCACCCTGATTAATAAAGCGACTAAGCAGGATAAGAAAATGAACGAATGAATGAATGTTATGTAAATCCCAAACAAGTTGCAATATAGAGTAACCCAACTGTTTTCTCCTAGAGGTTGTGATTCCAACTTGACAAATCTGCTCTATCCATAAGACCTCACGCGTACTTTAACCTTCCATGGGTTAAAAGTGCTTGCTTTTAGCAGGAGAAACAGTAAAACAGGAGCATAACGACCATAATGTTCTTTCACCTTTAAGACTGCAGAAGCGCAAGCGGCCACTTTGTGTATTGGCCAGCGCTGTTATTACGTGGATTTTTACGAACTAACAACAAGTAAATGGATGGATGCGAGTGCACGGGTTTAACACTAATGCTGCATTAATGAGCACTTGTTCCTAAAGCTGCAGAATTATGGGAATTGCGTTTAGCTCCTTAATGGCATGTGGGAGAACTGTAATAAGGAAAACAACGTGAGTCTGGAAGGGGTAATCACCAGTAAAAGGCTGTTTTAAAACAGCTGTGAACGTGGCTTGACATTAACCAACCACTGTGGTTACTAGTGCTTTTTGAAGTCACTAGCCACTCAGCGTTTCCATTGGCCACAGATTTGATGTTGGGCAATTGCATTTTACTGTACAGTACATGATTATAATCGACTGTTACGTGGAGCTGATTTTCTAAGACATTTGTTACCAATATAAAGAGCAATCTTTCCCAAGCTCTGGCCTTTTTTCTAAATATTACTCTGTTATATCAATAATTTATTTTTAACGGGAAGAAGGTTTTGTTGAACACATTTCTAAACATAACAGTTTTTACAACTAATTTCTTACATCTGGTTTCTTTTATGTTTGCCATGATGATAGACAGTACATAATATTTTACTAAATATTTTTCAAGATACACGCATTCAACTTAAAGCGTAATTTAAAAGCTTAACTAGGTTAATTAGCTCAATTAGGCAAGAAAGAGTAATTAGGTAAGTCATTGTATAACAATGGTTTGTTCTGTAGACTATCAAAAAAAAATATTGCTTAAGGGGGCTAATAATATTGACATTAAAATTAAATAAAAAAAAGTAAACTGCTTTTTTTCTAGCCAAAATAAATCAAATAAGACTTTCTCCAGATGAAATAAAAATATAGGAAATACTGTAAAAAAAAAAATTCCTTGCCCTGTTAAACATCACTTGGAAAATATTTGAAAAATTCACAGGGGTGCAAATAATTTTAACATCAACTGTATGTGTCATATTTTATATCAAATCCTTAAACTGTATTAATAACTTCAGTTAATATAATAACTAATAACTAAGAAACTATAGTGCGGCCATCAATCAAATGCAGCCAGTTTCAACAAAACAATGCAGAAGAAACAAGCAACTGAAGTGGCATTTACTCAAATATAATATTGCAAACTTTAAAACATATAGGTATGAAATTTAGTGCAAGAAATGTTTTCTCATATGCATAAATCATACAACTAAATTATACCGCCATTAGATAGCAGTAGTAACCGTCTTAATGACTACGTTTACATGTACAGAAATAATTTACTTATGTCTGATAATCACAGTGAGAACTTAATCGCGTTATGATATTATGATATAAAAAAAAATTAAAGGTCTTCAATCCCGTTTACATGCAACTTACCTTGTTCATATGATTCCCCAAGAATTGTCGTCATTCTTTTCTTCAATACTTCAATTTTAATACTATTAGGCCAATACTCTGATTAAGTGTCTACCATGTAAACAGCAATTTTTGATGACCTTAATCTGGCTAAAGTCATAATCGAACTTAACAGAAATCAAATGGGGACATGTGGAGTATTCCTATTTTAGCCGCATTATTGGGTGTACGAGTTGCATTATTGGGTGTAACGTGTAACGCGTTCCACAGTAACGCATTACTGTATTCTTGCTACATTTTCGGGGAGCGCAGTAATGTAATGAACTACATTTTAAATTTGTGTAATTTGATTACAAGTACTAAAGTCAGTGTAATTGCGTTACTTATTTAACAAATGTAGATTTTAGAAAACAATATTTGCTGTTTTTAAATCACGTTTTCTTCTACAACGTCAGTTAATAAGCATTCACTTTTGAATAGCTGGAGATTGCGAGCTGAAATAGCTGCTGACGAAAGTGGCTGCTCCTTCAAATGGAAATACAGACATTACTTTGATTTCACTGAGCGTAAAAACAAAAGAATTAATGTGAACTGCAGGCTAGCCTATGTACAGTCTCTAAAGAACTTTCGACTGCTTTTAAGTCAACCAGCAACTTGTTCAAGCAAGTTGACAGAAAGCAGAAAAGCATTTTAGATCAATAATCGTCAACAAGAAAGACACTGGTGCCCAAAAAACACAACAAACGGGGGGTGGGGGAAGGGGTTATTTATTTACGTTTGAGTTTGTCTCCACAATCACAGACATACTGTTGTAGGCTATGTGTATCCAGTTTTCTTTAAGTCTAATAATTAAACCAATGAAGTCCATTGATTAGAACTCCTGGCCATGTTTGGTGTAAAACCAGCATAATGCAAAACACTTTAGTATGGTTGTAGTATGGTTGTATTACAAGTTTCTTAGGTGCCATTGAAATGTAACAGCATTGCCCCTTGTGTTGGGTTAACTATTAGACAATATCAGCCAATAACCTTCTTTTACCTTCTTTCTACTAAAGTCTTTTAACTTTTGGTTGTCCTGATGTTGTGTAAATTAAAAGAAAGTTTGGTGCTGTTTGTGAAGTCACTCACCTTTCCTTTAAATTCTTCCAGTAGGGGTACAGGCTTTCCTCGATGGTGACGAACCGTAGGAGGCGACTGACCATCCCAGTCCTGCAGCTCCTCAATGCTCTTCAGGTAGAGCAGAGCTTTCAGACCCGTACAGTAGTCCTCGATCACGGTGAAGTCCTGGTTTTGTACTGCACTGCACACCTGGGAAGACAAAAGGTGAGCTGGTTTCTTTATGGTTTAGTAATTAGTGCACGTGTTGGCATTACAAGTTCTAGTCTGACTTGCAACATTTACCATTGTTTTTGTCATATAGCATTTCTGTTCTCTCTCTAGTGTTATGCTATAAATAATACTGGCAAATATCTGAAAAAAAAATCACAATACACCTCCACATACACGCAACATCACGACAGAATGGCACCATCTTAAAGCTGCTGTAAGCATATATTTTTTTAATACCGCATTGTATGAAATATACCTACAAGGAATAAATATAGCTGAAATAGGTGTGCTGAGAATTCACACTCGACCATGATAATCCTCGAATCTGTAAACAGCAAATATATAAATAAAATTTACATAAAAAATAAATGAACTACAATTATCCATGTAATGGAAACGTGTTGTGAGGGTTCGTGATATGAAACTATAAAATGCTTAATATTAAAAATAAAATACAAAATGAAACAAAAATGCTGGTTTATTGTTTTAATTTTTTATAATGATATGAATAATATTTTCTAAGAAATAATAATAATAATATATAATATCATAAGAAATATTTTTAAATAATAAAAAGACTATATGAATAAACAAATGAAAAAAATTAAATAAATACAAAACAGCAAACAGAAAATACATTCAAAATAAATTTAAATGAAATAAAAAAAATCATTTTAATAAAACATTTAAATTGATTAAAACAATTAATTAAAATTAAATAAATAATAAATAACATTTTCCAAAAAATTATATATATATATATATATATATATATATATATATATATATATATATATATATATAAGAAATCAAAATAAAAACTAAAATATAATGAATGTCGTACATTTTCACTTACAAAAATGTGAAAGGGTGTCACCTTTAAGCTTGTCTTCCTCAAAAAAAAAAAAAAACATTCAATGATAGATAGCATCCTTAATCAGTCAACTTCTCCATCAAATGATGTCACTACCTTTGAGTCATAGCCTTAAGGTTTATTGCACAAATTTTATGTTAAATTTAATGCAAATGTGACAGGACTGACCGAAACATGGGGACAATTGTAAAATTATTTGTATCATACATTTTTCATATTAATTTGTAGAATTCATTTATAATTTCATGTTTCTAATCAATTGATGTGAAAGATAATTACTTAGTAACTTCAGTTTTTTTTGTCTCTCTAAATATCAGTTTTTAGCAGAACAAAGCTATTGAAGCTGTAAGTTCAATTGGGCTGAGCACAAGGACAATGGAAACAATGACAGAGTTTGTAAGTTTAAAGTGTTTTTAATTAGGAACAAAAATCTGAGAACTAAATGAATGGCATATTAATTTAAAGAACAAGAAGTCAACCATCAGTCAATTTTAGATATTTTTAGGATGAAATACTTTTTATTCACTGTATTTGTTTAAAGTATATACAGGATTCAGAGAGAGAGAAATCCAATACCTTTTCAGACCTTTTTAAAGACTCTTTCCCTACATTTTAAGACCTTATAACCACTTTTTAACCAGAAACACTGGCGAGATTTTAACTTATAGTGTCAGGGTTGGCAAGGAGGACCCAAACGCAGAATAGACAGGAGAACACAAGATTTATTTACAGGAGGTGAACGCAATGGTGTTTGCAATGCAATGCAGAAGGACAGTCCACACAATAGTGCAGGGTGATGGCAGGAGAACAGGCTAGTGAGGAGACTAAGGATGATACAAAGGGGAGTGTCTTATGCGGGTAAACAGGCTGGTCAGGAAAGGAGAAAATACAAAGTTCAGGGCAAGAGGTCAATAAGTAGCTAGCGTGACCTCCAGTTTGGGACAAGGGTGGCAAACAGATGAAACATCAAGTCAAGGGATCCACAACCAGCAAAGACTCAGGATGCAAGTGACACAAGCCTCACAACAGGACTAGACAGCTGGGGAGACAAGAAAATTAAAGAGAAGAGACCAGAAAGAACAGAGAACAGAAAGCAAAACACAGCAACAGGAACTAAAAAAAATAAAGAACTAACAAAAGACTAGGACTGAGGATGACAAAAATGGCAAAATTAAAACTTGAAATTATTCTTGAGCTACAAACAGAAATAAAATTAAAAATGACAGCAACCATGCTGAAAGAAGAAAATTAAATAAACAGAATCAAAAGGATAAATTAATTTGAGAAAGATCAAAAAGACTAGTACCAGACTAAGACGACACACACACACACACAAAACAACAATTATATATATATATATATATATATATATATATATATATATATATATATATATATATATATATATATATATATATTTATATTTATAAACCTTTATTAAGCACTAAACAAGATTAGTTAGACAAGCACACAAAAGATAGTATGACAAACCGGCAAGGACAAGGGGAAAATGAACTCAATAGGGAGTAGAGAGCACGAGAAACAGGTGAACATAATTAGACAAACAAGGACTAAACAAGGGGGCGAGGCAAAGGAAACAAGGAGGCAGGACAAAGGGTTGCACATGGCGAACACAACAAAAAAGACAACCATGTGCTAATACACAAAACAAACAAAGAGACATTAAACACAGACAGGAGTGACAGGGCTCCTGTCATATAGTATATTTACTAAATATTAATGTAAGAAACTAATCCAAAACTAAAACATTATTCATATACTGAATAAAAATCTATTAAATCTAGCTAATTCAGCAGGTTGGCATCTATAGAACTGCAGAAATAATAGTGTTGACTTGATTACTGCAGTAAACAACGCAGCATGATGTCAAATCTGGGAGGATTATATTGATTTCCATAAACTACACAGCATCCTGATATTCGCAGACTAAAATCAGGCAAACTTTGGCGTACAACCATACAATACATAATCAAAAATAATAAAAAATTAATACCTTGCAAAATAGCATGTAAGACTTTTTAATACTTTTTAGGGGCCTTTAATGTCTCTACATTGATTCATCAAATTTTAATACTTTTTCAGACCCCGCAGACACCCTGATGTTTTTATTTCAGGAACAGATAATGTAAGTTTCAGGTAGAATGTCCCATATAATGAAAATCAATACAAACAAACTGATTTTAAATGAACAAATAACAGCCAAATTTTAATTTCCAAATGCTACTTGTGTCACTGTTAAAAGGTCTGCTTTGACTTTCCATACAATCACATCCACAGAAGACAGACGGTGAGAAACGGAGGCCATTAAAACACGTGCCATCCTTCAAAAGACAAACGTCAGCACGTGAATCAAAGCTCTACTACAGAAACGCTGCATACAATTGACCTTAAGAGAAATCTAATTCATTCTGTCATTACGGGCCGATAACGCCGAGCTTATGCTCACTCGTCAAGCAAAAGTCAGCCCGTTCCATTGACTCCAATACACTTCTGTAGACGGCGATACGCAGCCAGAGCTTGAAGTCGGGCTTTGTGTGAGTGTCTACGGCACTTCAGATGGCAGTCACACCGCGTCTTAAGAAAGCAGATAAGACACGTTTATCTGCTGGAGCTATCGCTGATCTGACATCAGCCTGAGAACTGCCTTCTTTCACAGGATTAGCATTCAGTCGCTTTGCAAACGTTCACAGCTGACTCGACACGCAGACCCAGATCTCCGCTCTCTCCGAGTCTGTATCTGATGGCTTATTTCTGGGGTTGGGGTTGATAAAAGGCTCTTATTCATAAGCGGTTCAGTTTTTAGATTGATTTCCGCTGCTTTTGAATTTCGGCTGTTCTCTATTGATGTAGACGATGAAGCTCTAAAATGCGATATGCAAGAGTTTGCTGCAATGCTAATGTACAGCAGGCAAAAACTGAGAGAGGGCCTTTGGCAAATGAATGTCAAGACTAAAAAGGAGATTTAATAGTAATAGTAATAATCTGACTGGGTTTTAATTCTGAATGTATTTTTAGTAGTATTGTCAAACTAAAAACAAAAAAAAAACTTTAAAAGTTTGTTAAGTATGGTGTTTATCTGGTATTTAAGTATGTATAAATGCACTCATGCATCTACATATTTAAGACAAAGTTTGTATATATATATATATTGTAGTATAGTTCGTTGTTGTGTGGGAAGAAGAAGACAGGGTCGGCGATATCAGGTAAGCAATATATTTTATTTTGCTTTTCCACAGCACTAGCAAACTGTGTGCGTGGGTGTGTATGTGTGTGTGTGCTCTCTCCTCTCCCGACTGCTCCTCCCGTTCTCCTTAAGAAGGGAGTCTCTCCGGCCCAATCACTAGAAAGACAGGTGTTATTTATCATTTCTGATTGACCCGCTGATTAGCCGCCGGGCTCCTAGCATGCTCTCCCCCCTGATTGGGTGTTCGATCACGCTTACCTCTCCACATACCCCCACCGCCCGCCTCAGGCCGGGGAGCCGTCCGGCCTGCAGCCCTCCCCCCCCCCGCCCTCGAGAGGAAGTCGGCTACAGCCATTTGTACGCCCGGCCTGTGGATCACCTTGAACTTAAAAGGTTGTAAAGCTAGATACCAACGGGTGATCCGCGCATTGGTATCCTTCATGCGGTGAAGCCACTGGAGAGGAGCGTGATCTGAACAGAGGACGAATTCCCTACCCAGGAGGTAATAGCGGAGAGTGAGAACGGCCCACCTGATCGCCAGGCACTCCTTTTCTATGGTGCTGTACTTAGCCTCACTCTTGCTGAGTTTGCGGCTAATGTACAGCACCGGCCGTTCCACTCCCGCCACCTCCTGCGAGAGAACCGCCCCCAGTCCCCGATCGGATGCGTCCGTCTGTAAAACAAAGGGGAGAGCAAAGTCAGGAGCGTGCAATAGCGGCCCCCCGCAAAGTATAGATTTTACCTTTGAGAAGGCCTGTTGGCACTGCTCCGACCATTGGACGGTATCCGGTCCCTCCTTTTTAGTGAGATCAGTCAATGAGCTGACAAGGGCCGAATAATTAGGGACAAAACGCCTATAATATCCTGCCAGCCCCAAAAACTGTCTCACCTCCTTTTTGG